ACTCGACGCCGCATGCTGCGTGAATATAAATGTTCATATGCGTGTGGATCGCATAAATTTACTCTATCTAGCTGTGTAGTTTTGATAGAGCATGAGAAATATCACCTTATAAAAAGAAAAGATACGAAAAGAACGACGAAAATCAAAAGTACTCATTGAAAGGCATTAAGAAGGGGCAAAAAGGGCATGAGTGCTTGAAAAACAGCGGACACTATTGTTATAAGTGCTCGCGGCATCCCCATACTTTCTAGGCATTTCTTCAGCTAGAGCACTTCCACGTGTAATGTTGTTTCCTGGACCAGAAAGAAAATATTCTCAGCATGAGAAAATGCTAATTGAAGCGATAACAAAATAATGCTGCACCATGCGCAACAAATGGTATGCAATGGGTTATGAAAAAGCCGCTCGATCTTTTTGTGAATAGAACAAGGAACAAGCCAAAAAAAAAACAGAAAGAAATTCCATCATAATAATATCACCTTGCTGAGCTCATTCTCAAGCATGTCGTTTCGCATTTGAGCTGTCTCCAGTTGCGCATAAAAACGTGCTCCAATCATTGGCATAATCTCATTTATTGATTTACGACCCGACGGTGAAGAAGAAAGAAGGAAACTGAAATCAAACACACTAATAAAGCCAAATTAGAGTGAATGTAGTTTGGAAGCTCTTCTTCTACAAAAACTTTATTGATAACGTTTCGGGCCTAAGCCCTTCTTCAGATCAACTGAAAAACAGCATAACACATGTACAACACATGAAAACATTGTGTATAAGAGGTGTACCCCACCAACGTCGTCCCACTGGAAAGGAGCGGGGAGGAGGACGAAATGGTTGACAGGAAAATGGTGATGGGATGCTACGCGGGCTTTTATATGTGAAAGAAGGGAATGATCTTCCTATTGTCACAACCGCTTCCCTCTTGCACGTAGCCCTGGCCTATAGTTCTATGAGCTTCATCGCCATCTTCATTTCCTCCTTATTATTGATCGGTGGTGCACACTGCCTTATTTCCAATGCTTCCCTTATCTTTCGCTCGACCGGGTCAGTCACATTTCTGTGTAGGATAACAACACGAAGTGTCGGGGGCATTTCTTGTGCGTGTCGTAGTGTGCGGTGTTTTGAGAATGGACTCTCTGCGTAGTTCTGGGGACTACGCAGGGCTCTTATGTGCTCATCCATTCTCTTGTAGAGTGGTCTTGCCGTTTCTCCAACGTAAAATTCACCGCAACCGAGACACTCTACTTTATACACAACACACCTCATCTGGCACACCTTCTGCTCCCCACAGATCGTGCAGTTTGTTCGTTCGCACCGATTTTCATATGGACGTGATGATGTCAGAATGCGTCGTAGCGAAGGAGGTGGACGGAAGATCAGGTTGATAGGACACACTACGACACGCACAAGAAATGCCCCCGACACTTCGTGTTGTTATCCTACACAGAAATGTGACTGACCCGGTCGAGCGAAAGATAAGGGAAGCATTGGAAATAAGGCAGTGTGCACCACCGATCAATAATAAGGAGGAAATGAAGATGGCGATGAAGCTCATAGAACTATAGGCCAGGGCTACGTGCAAGAGGGAAGCGGTTGTGACAATAGGAAGATCATTCCCTTCTTTCACATATAAAAGCCCGCGTAGCATCCCATCACCATTTTCCTGTCAACCATTTCGTCCTCCTCCCCGCTCCTTTCCAGTGGGACGACGTTGGTGGGGTACACCTCTTATACACAATGTTTTCATGTGTTGTACATGTGTTATGCTGTTTTTCAGTTGATCTGAAGAAGGGCTTAGGCCCGAAACGTTATCAATAAAGTTTTGATACTAATAAAGCCATTAAAATTATTGCAACTTAAATATCTTGATGGAAAATAAAAACAAGTGGGCGACAGATGCGCCTTTTTTCTGGAAAAAGACGTCATAATCCCGGTGATACGCAAGCCTTACGCCTAGTGACATATAAGTAGTGGCGAATGTATTGCACAATTACGCTTTATATATTAGGAAATAATAAAGTTCCAAGAAAAAATCGGCATGCGTCGCAAAGCCTATGAATTAACCAAATAAAAATGCTCGAATTAAGAATTTCAAAGAAGTAGACGCGCACTCCTTCAAGTGTCTACGATCAAATTAATATGAAATCGATAGTGAAGAAGACACGCAATTTCGCTGCCTGAGCGAAATGTGGGCTGACGAACAAGCGTGAGCGCATATATGAAAATCATAATAAGGGCAGACTACCTTATGAGATTTTTCATATCGCTGCTGTAATGATTCGTGACGTATGTCATGCTCTGCTGGACAAGGTCTCGGCGAGCCGAAAAAGCGTTGCCAGTTGCTAAGGCAAGAAGAACCCGACCAAGAGCGTGAAGATCTTCCATCTTAAAAGCATTAGATTTTGGAATATAAACCTTTCAACATCAAACAATTGGATAATAAAAAAGATCACCTGCAACTGTTGCACTTGGGTGTCGGGAGCAAGAAGATCGGCGACTCCACCGCAACTCAACAGGATCTTAAAAAGAAATGATTACAAAGAAACCTAAAGAAATAGGTTGAATTTTTACCTTGCTTTTGCCGTGAACAAGGATTTTCGATAGATCTACACATCTGGATGCGAGACCATTAGCATGAACGGCTCGCAAAGCAGATGAGAGCTGAATCACATACGACCACAGCAACCACTCAACTACTCCAGCTCCCTGCTGCATTTGATTCGATGCGTGTCCAGAGAGTTGACTTGACATTTTGGCTCCAGCTGAAAACTTCTAAACTTGTAAGAAGAAACAGTTACAAGTATTTTAATTTAATCCAACGAATACTACATAACTATTAGGCATCTCTAATAATCAGAAAAAAAAACGTTAAACTGATAAAAGTGGCAACCCGTACTTATTCCATCGATGAAACCGCTACCAAGCATCCGACCGAAATGTCGAGTCTTCAACGAATCCGCCAGAGGATGATAGTCATAGACGAGAATCACGGCTAAAAATATTTGAGTAAAGAATTCAGTCCATATGGGGGTAGCAGCTTACTAGGACGCATTTTGAGGAGAACATTTGCAAAAGAAAATATCGACTTGTTCAGAACAGCTTTTACAGCTTAAACCACCACGGCTATTGCTGGTTATGCAATCAGGCCATTGTATGCAAAACTCTGTTGCCCCTCATTTTGTTGGGTTTTCAAGTACTTCTTTTAAATATGCTCATGTATTCAAGCGTTAAATGAATGTATTCTCGAAAGTTTATCTAAATAAATGAACTCAAACAATCGCCAGCGACGACAAGGCCACAAAAGTAATGCAATGAAACACCATGGGTAGCTCGCCGCACCGACTACACTACTTCGAATTGTCCACAGTAGGTAAGACAATGAAACAGCCTTAGAATGACTAGTACAGTTAACCACAATCGGCAGAAAGCAGCCGTTCTTAAGATTCTTTTGTTTTCCCCAGGGTTTTATTTTTATTTTGTACAAGTTGCCGCTGGGAATGCGGAACAAATGATAAGACAATTCGAACTCACAACTATCACCGAAAGCTTTGCAATTGGCAATTACTTCTCGCAGTTGTACGACATTGACATTAACTAACTTCTTCCACGTCTCTAACGGTTGCAGTTGTTTCGGAGAAGAAATACGGAAGCCTGGAAACGCTTCTTCCATTACAGAATGATCATAAAAGAAAGAAAAAAATGCGAACTACCCCTTGAAACCTACGACGTGAATATAAAAAACAACCAACAAAAGTTCCACAACTCACCGTGTAATCTCCTAATACAATACGTAACACCATCGCGAATAGAAACCGCCTTGAACACGGACTGGGTAGCATGGTGTTGATTTATTTGTTCCAATGGGACCAGTTGATTGAAGTGCTCCACCTAAGCATGTGGAATTTTGCAAGCGAATTATGCCCTCTCATGTGTTAACGTTAAACCAATGATTTATCCAAAGTAAACTCATGCAATAGAAGGCTAATCACATACTTGTTGCGGTAAATCAGGATAGACCAGTGGGTCGGCTCGAGCTTCCATAGCGAGTTGCCGATGAACTAGTTCCTACAAAATTATACATCACGTCACGCCATATTGTACAACGTTTTCGATCACTTTCCCTGAGATGAATATCTTACCATTTTCACGTCAGGTGAGATAAACTGAGCCATGTTGTTACTAGCCACACTTTTTGGGCGAAATTTGCCTATGTGTGGCACTGGACCTTGATAGGAGAAACTGCCGTTGGTGTTCTGCAACGGAAACTAATTAAGGCCTCCAATAATAAGCATATGGCCGAAAACATGATTTTCTTGAGAGCGACAAACAAAGGAACATAGTACGCGCACTTCAACAAGCGCATCACAAGCTTACGTGAAGGGCATCGCGCTTATTTATTTTTATTTATTTTCACAGGTCAATCATAGCAGTTAGCAACCATGAATAAATGAACCCGGAATGGCACAAGATTGATTGACTCAAGATTCAATTTAGTATTTGCGGATAAGGGAAAAAGCTAAGTGCCGACCCAATACACGCAAACCGTTACCGAGTGATCAGCGAAAAAGGGGCAAGGAGACGCACGCAATGTTGCTAAAAGCCCTGAAGATAATCCTAGTGCCGAGGCCGCAGCGCAACAAGGGCGTTTGCAGGGGGCACCTCTTCGATCTAAACACGAACCCCAGGCGCTGGCTCGGGGGTACTTACGGAAGGCATTAACTAAGTTTGCGTGCTAAAATGCTGGGAATGAGTTCATGGATAAATGTAGGCGGAAACGGTCCAGCATGAGCTTATTTGTATTGAAACGATGTTGAAGAGCTTTGCGTGGTTCAACAGGCAAATGAGAAGCCTGTTGAATTAGGAGTTTGTAATATTTTCCGCATGATATATTATACTTCTGCGAAAACGGCTTCAAAGGTAAACAATTGATATTCTCCAATATTCGCGCGCATGAGCAAGAGATAAAGATTCAAAAGATAAAAATAACTCACAACAACGGTATGATTCTCTGGGACTACTTGCTCGTGTAACGGTGCACTACTAACACGAGTGCTTCCAGTAGCCGAATCAGGCGTACTTAATGTTTGTGGCGGCTGCTGATGTGGATAGAAATAAGTCGTCCCTCCATGATTTTCCTAAAACAAGGAAAGTTTTAATTGAGATTTTAAAGAATTAATAGAAAGAGAAAGGTATCTTTTACCTGATAAAGAGCCAGCGCCTCAGCTTGATTGGCTGGAGATGAGGCATTAGCTAAATGAGTGTCGATAAGGTGAGCGAACGCAGATTACAAAATAAGCATCATTAGTAGGGAAAGGTCCGATAAGCAGGCAATAAAATACTATGGCTCTCCTCGAATAAGTAAGAATGAGTAAGAGACGGTATTTCATTTGGTACGACTGGTGATTGATCGATTCTATTTGTCGGTCGTTTCGATTTTTTCAAATAGCACGCACGGCAAAATCAAAATGACATAAAGCACATCATTACTCTAACAATAAGACGTAGCCTCAGATGGATGTCAAACTCGGCGATTGCATAACAGCCGAGTCCGAAATTCAGCTTGTTCTAAAAGCTTACAAGCCGAATTCCACAACTTGGTTGAATAAATGCTAAACAAAAGGAACGGACCAGGATGAAAAGTTGGCGTTGCTCGATGTGGTGTGAACGGTGTATGGGTGCCCGTCTGTTTTCCTGGCGGTGGCGGTTGTTGCATGTCACCAAGGCCAAGTTGGGCAAATTGAGGTATGAATGTAGGAACCTTAAATCTCAAATACGTTTAGGAACTTGAACAATGGACTAAAAAATAATTTCCAATATGCTATGAAACACATATCTCTGGAGTGAATATGGGGCAGGATTATATTAAAAGAATATCCTCGAACCCCGACATTCGGTTAATTATTCAGGTCTATTTAATATATAATATTAAGGGCGGAAGTGGTGTAGTGGCGCGCTTACCACGCGAGCGGTCCGGGATCAAATCCTGGGTCGTGAGTCGCCCGGGCCAACCAAGCCTTCCATCCCTCCGGGGTCGGTTAATTGGTAGACTTGTCTGGGAGGATAAAAACACTGACTTGAACATCGGCTGGCCCCCGCAAGTCATTGTATAGGCCACATCGCATTCAAACGCCACTACGAATGTACAAATGGAAGTAGAATGCGTGCCGCATCCCAAAAAGGGATTGATCAACGGCAAATGCTTTATCCTTTATCCTTTTATTTAATATAAGGAGGAGGATATAATGTTCTTAATGATTGGACTTAGCAGAGCATTGGACGCGTATCGATCGTCAGACGTGTTCAAAGGTTAGACGATCGATACATATTTAACGTTGTGCGATCGTTACGATCGGACGATCGACTATGAATGCGCGCTTAGCAGCATTGTTCCAGAATACACAGTTCAAATGCCGAAATCTATAAATTCGAAATGAACTCACATTTGCAACGAAGGTGTCAAGCACTACCTTTCCTCCTGAAAAGGAAATTAATGAGGATAACATTTCCATGGTCCTGAGAATTTGAAAATATACTCTAATCCAGTATGGGAGGAGGGGAGTGGTGCTACAGTTCATAACGCCTAAAGTAATCCAATTTCTCGCAAGGATAGAAAGCTCCGTAGTGGGTGTAAAAGCGAAAGCGAAATGTTTCACGGACTCCGGGGACTTTTCCACGCTGCGCATTATGGGAACTCTAGTACAAAGAACACTATCCGGCCCAACATTTCTCCGTCCCTCAATGAATGTGACCCACCATTTCCACTGCCAATAGACTACAACTATAACACAACGACAACAAGATTAACTCTTGAAAACGTAGCATTCGTAACACATACACTTTTCTGGCCTTGACAGTACACTCATGATGCATTGTCTCCGACATAAACCTTCACTTACTCCCACCCAGGCGCTCTATGTTTTGAATGCTCCACCGCTCAAACTTTCTTTCATGACAGTATCGATTAGTCTTGTTGACATATGAATTATCGACCGACTTGATTGGAACTGATATGAAGTTCAAAGTCGCACGTCATGTTTGATGTGATTGAGAAAGCGCCACAGAGCACATAAATTTGAAATGTTTCACGCAGGACAACATTGCATGTAGAGCTAATTTCAAAAGGAGGCCGCTCAGAAAAAATTATCGGGTGCGATGAATTGTTGAAAATCCTCAAACCTTCCAACAAATTTTTACGGATGATGGAACTACTCTTTTTTTTCACATAGGTGCGGTGTAAAACTACGCGAAACTGGTTTTTGAGCTTTTTTCTCGACTTTGCGGATCTGCTTTGAGGCACAAGATTCAGAACCAAAAACAATCACTGACACACCATTACGGCAGCAAGTTTCTCTTTATGACTGCCTTTCATGAAAATTAAGGCGACCGCTTGAAACTTCCATACTCAATAAAAGCTTTTAAGAGTGTGGTAGCTGAAAGAACTTCTACAAGGAAGACACTGCTATCGAGCAAAATCTAATAATCAATACAGATCTAGAAATTAGGCATATCAAATCAAAGGTCTATAGGAATTATTGAAACAAAAGTAAAAAGGGAGTTCCGTCCTACAAAGAGTCAAGGTGGCATACTGTTTCTGAAGATACCCACAAATTATAGAATTTCTGAATTAATCAAATTCGAAACTACGGACGCCCGTGTACTTTTTCAACGGTGGCCGCCTATGAGAGCGCTACATTTACCAGAACATAGAATGCTTGAATGCTCCTAAATTCTGGAGGGATCTTGTCAAATTCAGAAGTAAAAAAGTTTGCCAAAATTGGGAATGCCAAGGCTTAATACTGTAGTACAATTTTTCACTCATATATTCTACAAGAAAAAAGTTCCTAGCATTGAAAAGCTGACGAGTTTCACTCAAGTTTTTTCTTGGACCTGTTCGAGGTGGCAAACATTTTACTTCGATACAAGTCCTTCATTTTTATTTATTTATTTATTTGAAACGACGCATAAGGCAGTCGTGGGAAACAACGATAAATGAGCAACAGTACAACAATCTTTCCTTATAGATAACCTAGTTATAGCTCAACAAATTTTTCTTAGCTAGGCGTTTGAAAAGCACAAAAGTGGGAGTGACGAGTGCCACATTAGATTTAAGAGAAGCATATATAGACCCCGCACGACAGGTGAAGCTATAGAGCCTTCACGTTAGTTCTTGGCGTTGCATATGAAATTTTCTCAGGCCCTCCTCTGGTACTGCCTTGCATCAACTCGGGCAATACCGGATAACAACTTAAACACCACACAAGCGTCACAACTTTTCTAGGACATAAACTATGCAATTGGAAACTTCTATTTCTGGAATTCGGTTGAGGCACATGAGCGTAAATAGCACCACCAGCTCTAATAAATAGCTTTCAAGTGAAATCATCTTGGATTTTTCCAAGTAACTGGGATCCTTTTTCTTATGAGGGCAAAGATCGATGTACCACATTCCGCGATGGGACAGATATACGTTTTTGTAAGCTTTTATCAGGACATCTTTATCCCTAATCACCAAACCCTTGAAGACTTGATATGTACGAAACCCATCCTTTGTGGGGATTTCTACAGACCCAAGCTTCGCAAAAAAATAGTTACCTGCTCGGTTGCCGCTTCCTAAGTATTTGGCCAGACGTGAGCCAGGCGGAGGCATTGCCCCCACTGGCGGACCTCCATCAAGTCCGAATCCATCCGCTGTTTGCATCCGGTTTTATCTAAACGTGATCCTTTAAAGAAAGAAGCCAACAATGTATTGCGAAGCAATTGGGATATTCCCAACTGAAATTCATATAGACGACCTCCGGACAGAAGAAAAAAAGGGATGCTATCGCAATATGGGGGGCACTGCGGTGGCAGTGCACTAAAAATAGTGTGAAACGTCTTTTTTTGTTGAAAACGAGACTAAGCCTCAGGCGTGGAGAGGTGGAGAAACTCCGAAGAGCGCTAGCCATTTTCATTTTCCCCGTGGTTGCTGCCCTTCTAGACTTAGTCCTGAAGAATGCCCTCGTATATTGCGACAGCGCTACAAAATGCAAGCAGGAGAGCACTGAAGAAGAAGAAACGAGAACAAAAACACAGGTACAACAGGAAGTTAAACATGGGCACAACTGATGATAAAAGCGATCGATTTCCGAATAATGGCAGCGCCTATCAGTCATTTCCCCCTCATAACCACACGCATGGCCATGATTACACAGGAATTTCAAGATTCATCGAAAGATTAGATAAAGTCAAATGACATGATGATAACAACCGTACATGGAAATAAATGGAAAAGAAAGAAATTCGAAATTTTCTTTGAACGGGAGCAAAAACGGAAATTTCTACTTCAAGAAAGAAGCTAGAAAAATTGTTCGCATTTCCGTTAACTGGATGTTTGTCTCTTAAATTAAAGAAAGCCATTCCCGAATTGGACACGGACCCAAGAATTCAAAGAGAAAACGATTTGAGCAGAAGTACAGTAAGCTTGAAGTCGCGTGTTTTCCACTCGTTCTTCGCCGCATCACGAGGTTCAGTCGTTTTCACGCTGGAGCGCACTATTCCCATCGAAATTCCGAAAGGCCTGCTCCACTGATAATTCCCCAAACGCAATAACAATCAGTTTTTGAAGATATGTAGTTGGGATTCAACTGCCTAACGTTAGCTTACCTCCCTTTAATTTTATAGGCGGCGCAAATTTAATGTAATTGAGGTGGGGGGGGGGGGGGAGCATCGCGAAGCGCGGACTCCCAAGGTTTTCGAAACCGTGACAAACATTTCCATTTCAGTATCACCTTACATTACTTCCCTTAGACACAGAATGATTGCCTATGGAGTGTTCAGAGTTGGCGATCGTACGTGCGATTAGGCGATTGGGCGACTACGCGATCGTTCAATGGGCGGAGCAACAATTCGATACGTATCCTTCTCTCTTGGCCTACTCGCCTACTCGCCTACTCCCCTAATCGCCTAATCGAATTATCGATACGTATACTTTTATTTTTGAATCGGTCGTCTAATCGCATGTTAGGATCGCCAACTATGAAGGCTCCATTAGGCCGCGTTCATAGTTCGTGACTCCGCGACTCGAAAAACATGTGTATTGACGGGCGATAGTGGGAGATTAGGATAGTAGTAGATTAGGAGAGTGCGCTGACAAGATTAGATATGTATTGATCTATTCGCTTGAAGTCGCCCAATCTACTACTCTCCAGCGATTTCAATCGATACGTATCCAATCTTGTCAGCGCAATCTCCTACTCTACTACTATCCTAATATCCTGTCGCCTACTATCCTAATCTCCCGAGTCGCGAACTATGAACGCGGCCTTAATGGTCCTACTGTGGAGTTTCATCAAATTTATTTCCTCATCGTGAATTTCCTCGAACCCAGGTTGAGAAAGCCTCCTGTAAAAAGTCCGATACAGTAGTAACGCATGTTATCACGCCCAATCGCGTCTCCTGCTACTACTTCAACTTTTGCAAGAATTTAATTTTTCCATTCAATCTGAAAAAATAAAATATTCGCAACGTGCTGGGGCCTTAAAACAGCACTTAACAAACAAAACGAGTCTAACTAAATTTTTTAATTTTTTTTTCTTGAGATTTGGTCTGGTTTTCAGGGCAGCCGCTACATGCTATTAGCGGCAGCGGATCCGCTGCAACAATTTCCAGAAACGGGCACCCCCCCCCTTTGGGTGCCCTGCAAACCCTTTCTCCAACGGTCAATCTTATATAATTTAATCTCAGTCAATTTAATCTTGCCGATGGTTCCGTTGAACTCGGTACCACTTGCCGTTGAACCTGGTACCACATGACACACCCCTTCTCCGCCTCCGAAACTACAAGTGTGTAAGGAAAGAGGACAAGTAATTTCTGAATCAGCAAACTATTAACCAAATATGTCAAGCAATTCTCTCCCCCCCCCCCCTACGCCGTCCCCCGACCTCCTCCAAGATCCCAAGTACGACCTCCTCGTTGAAGTTCGCGCAAACGGCAGTTGAGACAAGATTATAAGTTAAGGAACATAGGATGTATACCGTAACCCACGTTTGCGTCAGAGCGCGGTTGCAGGCTTTCCAGTGCACAATGCCAGCACTAGTGTGAGCGGTCAACGACGCCGCCCCTGCTGTTCGGGGCAGCGAACCCAAAAAATGGAGCGACGTCGCAGCGTTCGCCTCGCCGCTTGCGCGACGAAGCCGAACACCGTCGCAGCGTTGGCCTCGCCGCTTGCGCGACGAAGCCGAACACCGTCGCAGCGTTCGCCTCGCCGCTTGCGCGACGAAGCCGAACACCGTCGCAGCGATTCGCGCCTCGCCGCTTGCGCGACGAAGCCGAACACCGTCGCAGCGTTCGCCTCGCCGCTTGCGCGACGAAGCCGAACACCGTCGCAGATTCGCCTCGCCGCTTGCGCGACGAAGCCGAACACCGTCGCAGCGTTCGCCTCGCCGCTTGCGCGACGAAGCCGAACACCGTCGCAGCGTCGCCTCGCCGCTTGCGCGACGAAGCCGAACACCGTCGCAGCGTTCGCCTCGCCGCTTGCGCGACGAGGCTGAACACGCGCGCTCCGCGCTGCGAGGCACCCGGAGGTAATCCGGGGCAGGGTCAACCCTATGTTGCTACAAGTAGCAACGGGGGGTCGTATTTTGGTGAGTTTGTAGAGGGGGGTCGTACTTGCTTCGGTTGTAAGAAGTGGCATGTGATGAGTGGGGGGGAGCGGCGCGGGAGAAAATTTGCCGTTTCAGCGCGTCAAAGTGAAAGTGGAACTGCGAGAGGGATTATTAGTGATCAAAAAAGCTAAAGGAATCACCAAAATGCTTAAGTTGCAAACTTCTTTTTTGGCTAGGTAGACAATGTGATGACGAAGAGGCATTGTGGTTAGAAGGGAGAAGTGGTGAGATAGCACGGTGACAATCGAGACGCAGACTCCTTCGCGACCCCGATTCGTTCGATCAACCACATGGCAAGGGCCAAGGTTAACGTTTCTCTCTCTCTTAGCATCTCACGACGAGAGCGTGGAACTGACAGAATTCACTTCTGTGATCGTTTATCCCAACCTTTGAGGGGCGGACCGCGTGACATTTGGTCGTGGAATTCGCTACCTTTGAAATTTTGCGTCGTGTGGGGGGGGGGAGGGGGGCATATCAAGTTATGCTAGCCATTAGGTTATGCTGCCTTAGCCAATGCTGTCTTGGCGACTAAGCGTTAGCAACGAAGGAATTCTGGAGGATGTGAGCTTTATATTTTTCACTCTCCTCGGCTTAGCCCCTAAGGGGTCACCAAGCATTGCTGTTGTGTTGCCCCCCTGTCGTGACTTCCGTACGACTCCACCTAAAGGGTCGCGCCTGGTCGGGTGTGCGCGGGTCCTGGCGCGCCCGCGCTGTCGAAGTCTCTCGAAGAACGTCAGGGACGCAGAGTGCACGCGCCCTCGCCTGTCTTCAGTCTACGAGCTGCCGCCGTCGAGTGTAGTCCGCTGGCCGTTGCTGTCTGTTGTCGCCACTTGTGCTCCAGTGTTCGTACGTCAACGAATGGTTCCGGGCATGGACGCCCGTCGAAGAACATCGGAGCCGAGCCACGTCATCCCCGCGTAAGAAGCACTTCTGGGTTCGACCCGTGAGTCTAGGTGTAGTAGCCGTATTATGTTGTAGTCGTTTATTCTCATCGTAGTTTCAATGTTCGTCGTAGTTCAAGATCATATGAATCTATGGTATATATTTTCTTGTAGTGTTCAAATCGTAGCGGTTGATCCGCACCATACTATCTATTTAGTAATATAATTAGTGTGTTCATAGTCAGTATAACGCTCGTAGGCCGGGCCATAAATTCATCGTAGCTAGCTAGTATCGGGACAATAACATCACAGGCGTAGTCCTAGGTATTGCAATACGCAGTAGGATATGGCGTACTGCCAGTCGGGGCTGCTCAGGCCTATTAGGTGTCCGCGTGGCATAGTGGCGGGCAGCGAGCGCGGCGTAAGTCCCCGTAGCTACCCTCACGCCGACACTGACGCCGCTCCTTCGCCGGGTGAACCCCGATGCTTATGCGACTAGCGGGGAGCAAGGCGTCCGTGCCGGCGCGACATGGTGCATCGAGCTGGGGTTCAACGTGTGGGAAACCCACGTTGGGCCTTAGTGATCGAGCCTGCTCTCGCGCTCGCCGCTAGCCTAGTCGGCCCGGTAATGGTCGTAGGCATACAAATTATGTTCAAACGTGCAGTTCAATTCACAGGCGTCACGCCATTGGGACTCCCCAGCCTATCTCCACGTGGGACCCTTCTCTCACCCACGTCGACTTGAGTGGCACAGGCCGCCGTGGGGACAGCCGTGATACGTCGAGTTGGCGTTAACTCTGCGCAGGTGGGTTAGGTATGCGACGGTGCTCTCTGATAGGGTACTATGGGTCTCCTTGAGTCACGCTGCACCCCATTCACGGGCTCATGTTGGCATTATACGCTAGTGCACATTGTCTGTGCCGCTGTTCATAGTGCGTACGTTATACTTCCATCTACCATAGTACCTCTTCTTGTTGTGCTCCATTATCTCTCGTATCGCATACGCCGTCAATTCCCGTTTATTTGCCTGGCCAGCACTGCGTCACATGTTACTCGTTTGTTGCCGTAGGGCAGCTAGTGGCCACAGCTGCCATACGGATCAACATACACTCACCTTAGTTAGTTTTAGATTTGGGTACGGCAGTACTACCTCCTGCCAGCGAACAAAATGTCGC